AAATTTCTCCACGAATGAGATTTTAAGAAGTTGAGCTGAAGTAGCACTAACAGATGCACCCAAAGTAATTGTGAGTGAGAAATGGAAGCCACCGGCACTGAACAAGCTAAAACTAAATTTTGATGGGAGTTCTTTTGGTAACCCAGGAAAGGCAGGCATATGGGGTGTGATTAGAAATCATCAGGGTGTGGTGGTGGCACTCTTCTCAGGACCAATAGGTATTGGTGACTCAATACAGGCTGAATCTCTAGCCCTACTTCAAGGTGTAAAGATGGCTGAGCAGATAGGAATAACAGACTTAGAAATAGAAGGAGACTCACTACTGGTCATTTCTTGGGCAAAAAACATCACTTCAATACCTTGGAAGCTCAAATTTATCTTCAGAGAAATTGACATACTTACACGGAGGATCAACTCTTGGTTTGGTTGAGTCAAACAGAGTGCAAATGGGATAGCGGATACCCTAGCAAAACAAGAGGCAAATAGATCTACATTGTACTGGGCAGAACTGTAACTGATTGTTTGTGGGTGCAGATTAGATTAATGCTTTTCTGCTACCTATAACTTTTGTAACTGATTGTAACCTTTGCTACTTTATTAATAAAATATCTTGCTGATCAAAAAAAAAAGCAGTATCCTCTTCCTGCCCCTCACACAGACATAATCTGTTAGCCATGCTAAAACCTCTAAATTCAGGTAATCAACTGTCAATACACTGTCCATGGCTACCAACCAGGCCAATGTCTCAACTCTTGGGGGGACTGGATTTCCCCAAATGCCCTTAATGTGACTTGAGGCTGAGATAGAGCTGCTGAGAGCCATATAGCATGACTTCACTGTGAATTTGCCATTCTTCCCCTCCTTCCACCAGAGCTTATCTCTGGGATGAAATGCAGGTTTTGTCCCATCAAGTTTTTCTAATAGCAAGATGCATTCTTCAACTTCTCAGTCCAGCAGAGGCCTCTAATTTTTTTTTTAAAGGTAAAGTAAATTTATTAGATTAAACTTTTAAGAGCACAAAACAGAACCTGCCAATAACAAGGCAAGCCTGAGAACCCCCCATTACAAACGCCAAATTGACTGATTTCTCAGTAACTGAACTACATTTATATGTTTGAAATCTGGGGTGACTGAAATCCAGGATATCAGTTTACCAACAGCCATGTGACAAATTCTCTCAGACCAAATAGCCCAAATCACTTCCAAACCAGTTTCCCTCTTTTCTTCAAATTACTAATCTTCCAGCTACAGAGCAACTCCTTAACAGATTTTGGCATGACCAAACATATCCCCACAGCCTTCAAGAAGTGATACCACACCTGGACAGCAAATGGGCAGTGAATGCAGAGATGATCCGTAGATTCAGGATGATCATCACAAAGGGCACAAGACTTATCCAGGATCTGCAAGCCTCTTCTTCCAAGATTAGTTCTGGACAGACATTTATTCAAGGCCATTGTCCAGACAAGGAAGTTAACTTTTAATGGGCTAACTAAGCTCCAAACCTGCTCAGCAGGAAAGTCCCCCACTAATAGTGATTTCAGTCTCTGATAATCTGAGTCTACTGGCCATAGATTTTACTGAGGCCTCCTAAATTGYGGGCTCCAAATAAACTGGTCCTCCCTTCTTTCATAACATTCACTAATAGTGATTTCAGTCTCTGATAATCTGTACAACCTTGGGCACAACTCGGATAGCTTACCCACCCCCACACCATTCATCTTCTCAAAATCTGATTTTAGATGCATCCCCTACCACAAATTTAGCAAGGTCTCTGAATTCCTTATTAAAGGCCATGATCCCCTTCCAAACACTCACCCCATATGAAGCTCTCACCCTCCTCGCTTCCCAACCAAACCTCACCACTCCATATTTCCCAACCACAGACCTCCTCCACAGTGAATTCTCTTCTCTCCCTAAACAAAACCTCCACAACCATTTCCCCAGAAGTGCTCTATTAAAAATTCTCACTCTCCTTATCCCAAGCCCACCCTTCTCCTTAGGTAAACACACCTTATCCCAGTGCACTAAGTGAAATTTCTTACCACCTCCTCTTCCACCCACACCCTCCCAAAGAAAGTCCCTCTGGAGATTCTCGATCCTTTCAGCTACCTTAGGTGGAACCTTTAGTGGAGACAAGTAGTATGTTGGAAGGCTAGATAAAACACTTCTGATTAGAGTCACTCTCCCCCCCCCCTATGGATAGATATTTGGTGTTCCACCCATCTAGCCTTCTCTCTATTCTCTCCAAAAGTGGCTTCCACAGATTCACTATTTCATTGCACCACCAATCGGCAATCCCAAATAAGTAAAAGGGAGCTCACCAATCCTGTGTTCCAAGACATCAGCACACTCCCTCAACACATCCCTCCCCACCTCCCCAACTGCAATTATTAAGGGGAGAACTTTGCCAAGGATTAACTCTGATAACAGGCCCATTTGTCCCTTCCAGAGGAGTTTTTCAGGAGATCCTTCTCCCTTCAAGTTTGAAAATATGTGGCTCGCACATCCAGGTTTCAAGGAGAAGGCGAGAGAGTGGAGGAATCTGGAAATCCAGTCCTCTTAGTGGGAAGGCCAGAGATTCTTGAAATTACAAAAGTTGAACACAGAATTAAAAGAGTGGAATAGATTAGAGTTTGGGAAATTGGAGGAGAGGAAGGTTGAACTAATGTCACAAATTGAAGAAATTTGGGGTCGGGGACAGGGAATATAATCCCCACCCTGTTGCCATTCCTAGGTTAGAGCAGAATTCCTAGTTGCACTCTTTGGGATTGAGAAGGCTAAGGAAATGGGAAATTGAGAATAGGAAGGTTAATCATTGAAAATGATTTGAAGCTGGTAGTGAGATGGCTGAAAAGGGGTAGGGTGACTTGGCAATTGAGAAATGAGTTCAGGCACTTCAAATGGCTGTCAAAAGATATGAGAGTTCAAATTTGGTGGGTTAGAAGATCTGCTAATTGCTTGGCAGAAAGTCTAGCTAAGCAAGGGGTTCAGAGAAGACAATTGTTTTGGGCACATTTGCAATTCAGCTGGGGCATTAATTCTGTATTGGGGCTGTTTTTTTCACAACTTCTTGTATTCTGTTGCTCTTCATTCTTAATAAAACCATGAAAATCTTTTATCTTTTTCTATGGATGATATAAGCAGAAACTAGTAGTGGGTTGCTATTAGCACTTAGCTAGAACATAGATTCAATCAAAGTCGCAACAGCATGTATATGGTTAAGTGCCTGTTTGGGAGGGCTTCCGGGACTAGGCCCCACACGGGAACGCCAGAGGCTATGCTTGGTGAAAATCCAGAAAGCATGCCACTGTGTTCCGGACACAAGAAACACAACTGTAATAAGAAGCTACTCTAGGTAGTTTCTCCCGAACACGGGTGCTCAGCCACCACGGCTCTATCATCGCAGCTCACCTACGACGCAGAAGCCATACCAAACAGGCTCTAAATTAAATTTCAATGGCTGTAATTTAGGCACCCCAGTCCTACCAGTATAGGGGGGTTTATAAGAGAGCATCTACGCAACATTTGGCTATGCACTTAAGTCCAACCCTAAGGACTGCAAGTCAATTTGCCAAACTTGAATTCCAATTACATTGGACTCGGGTTAGGGTTCAGGCCCATTTTAAATTTAACTAACTCCCAACATAACCCAGCCCAAGTTGCATCTCTAGAAACTCTACAAGAAAAGGATTACTCTCAGCATCAGAGACTTTGACTCTCAAGTATCTAAAGTTGAATCATGTAATAGTAGAAAAGGACTTCAAAGTTGTTCCATGCTGGCTAAAGGAATATAATCAAGGATCATGGTGTTTTAAAATAGTATTCAAGGTGCCAAGGTGAGGCTAGGCAACAAGGGGGTGCCTTGTCACCTAGTCACCTAGGCGATGGATTTTTTTAAGCAAAAAGCATATGTCCTAGGGTAGTTCCCTAGATTCTATAACCATATTTCCTTAATAATTATCCATGATTTTCATAAGAAAAGTATAACCTTCATGTTAAAGTATAGAAAATTAACATATCCATAAGAAAAAGAAGAAATAAAAGAAATTTCAAAAAATATGGGGGCTGAACCCCTATTTTGTTATAGGAAAACAAGAAAAGAAAAAGTGGAAGAAGAAGAAGGTGTGAAAGAATATAATGTGTTGATAATTCAAAATTTTAAGTTCTTTCTTACTCTTACTCATTGGTTCAGGTTTTGAAGTCTTTGAGGGTTAAATACAGCATTTAGCAATGTTTGTTTTGATTAAACCCTAACCAATAAGAAAATAATAAAAAGAAATTAGTATATAAACACACAAAATGAATATTTTAGTTTAATAATGTCTAATTTATAATTATAATCTCATAACACAATGTACAAAATTGCTTGGCAATTAGACGAGGCAAGCCTCCAAGGGCGCCTTGTCGCCTAGGCATCACCTTGACAACTATTTTGTAATACTACAAAGGAGATTTAAGGCACTGGAAGGAGAATTGGTTATCTGATACTTTTTTTTCGTTTTGAGAAAAGATGAAGTATATTGTATTAAATGTATGAAATGGAAGATTCCATTATAATGAAGCTGTACATGGGGGGAATCCCGTAGTAAGGTCAGGGTGTCTGATCTGGCTTTTCTGGGACGCCTTTGCATGATTGTACACAATCCATTCTTCTCTATTATCCAATAAAATTCTTGGTTATCCATTAACAAAGATCACTAGAAGAAGATAACACGGCTGGACACTGTCATATACATAATTTACACTAAAAAATGCAGTATCCGATATGATAAGGCACCCTCATATGGTACATGGGTATCATAATCAATTAGTAGTACCAGGATGGGTAAGCTACCAATAAACACTGAAGTCATATACATAATTCACACTAAAAATTGAATTATACGATACAATAAGGCACCCTTGTACAGTATGTGGGTATCATAAAAAAAACACTGAATCCTATGATTACCTAGAAAATGTGTGTTCAAATGCTAAAGAGAAGACATGCAAAATACCTGACAAACCGTTTGTAAGTACTACTGTTGTTTGGTTATCACTGTTCTGCTTGTCTTCATTAAATCCAGCTCCTTTGGTTGCCCAATTACATCTAATTTGCCTATTTCCAAGCCATTTCCCTGAAAGTTAACATTGTAATACATTTTCATTTCTGAAACTTGAAAAAGGGTAAAGCAAAATGGATTAACCAGTTGCAGTTTCCTCACCAGTCAAGTGATTTATAGCACTTTGTGCATCCTGCAAAACAATCACAGCATATAAGACAATTAATGTCTGGTGATCTTGGAATTTTTTTGGTAAGTAACTTTACATTTTATTCACTAAAAAGAAATAAGATGCGTACATACAATACAAGAGGTACAAGCTGGCTACCTCTCCAGAAATTAATGACACATTACAACTAAGCTCAATACAATTTCTCCCTATTGACCCCCTTAGCTAACATTGACAATGCTAAACTGCTAATAGATATTTTAGGAATAAAACCGGCCTTGCTATGGTCTTAGTTTATTAGTTCCAAATTCCAATTATTAAATTCAAACTCCTATTCTCTTGAGCAGTGTCATGTGGATTCTACTAAATGGATGAGGTGTCCACGTCAGACAATGTTTAGATTCTGATACTCCTGGTTCCATACCATTTTCTTTTTCTTTTTCTCATTGCTTGTTTGATATGGATGAACCTTTACCATATATATAAACATTAGAGTTTAGATTCTGACACTCCTGGTATGCTTGGAAGACAATTCTCCATATCATTTTCTTTTTTTTATCTCCTTGCTTATTTGGTATGAATGGACCTTTAGCATACTTAATAATATTCTATCAAAAACTAATAATTATAACAATACCTGCTGATTACGAAAAGAAACAAACCCAAATCCCCTTGATCGCCCAGTTTTGTTATCCCACATGACCCTTGCATCCCTGGAAAGTAATTTAATTGATAATCAAGCATGAATACAGTCGACTAAAATAGCAATATCCAAAATAAACCAAACTGGAGGAAATACGAAAAGAAACTTACGAACAACTTGGATATACAGAGAAGCAGGCAAATAATGTTGAATCAGTAACCTCAGGGCTCAGATCACCAACAAAAATATTGAAGTGCCCTAACAAGCATAAACACCATTGAAGACTAGTCCAGTGAAGACATTGTGGAAAGAGGGGGCAAAAATCCACAAGCAAGAAATAGGGAAATAGGGTAAAGGAAGAAATGGATGGAATAACCAACCTGAAGTATCCTCCCTCTGGCCACTGGCATATGCCCAGTTCACCTTAATTTCCTGACCGTAACTGCAAATAGATTAAATCGGGAAAACATTAATCATGGAACTAAGATATATATTTCATGAGGATTCAAAGCATGATATGATCATTTGAACTGAAAATATATATATATATATATATATATGTGAAAAAATATTATTCCTAAAGAAAAAAATCTATCAATATGAAATGACAAATTTATTCAACTTTCTATTAAAAACACTGCAATGTTCCCAAAACCTAAATTCCTTAAACCATGTTCTGAGAACAGTCAAGTGCAGTGAAACCCTCATGAAAAGAGACAGTCCATCAAAGAGTGAATAGAAAGCTTAAAAAAGACACCCGAATGGGATTGCTTGATACAATAGATTTGTTCTTACAGTTGTCGTCCATGCAATGTCATTATAGCAAGTGCAGCAGACCTTCGATCATGGTAGTCCACAAACCCATAAGGTGACTGCAAATAAACAACAAAGAATTAACAGGAAAGTTTGAGTTTCAATTCTTGGACAATAAGTATAATATCAGCTAATAACCTTCAACCTATGTATGTTAAACAAACACAAACCAAGTATTGTTGTGTCTTCTACTAGATAATTTTTGCAAACAAAAGAGAATGTAAAATGTAAATAAAAGTGGAACACTTTTTCAACATAAAAACCATCCACCAAACTACCAAAAGCCATATATAATATGTAGTATATACCATATGGAAAGACGAATAACACCTTATATGGTTCTTGTACTCCATACCACAAAGAATGTTCTTCAATGCAACTTCTTGTAAGAAAAATGGTCATTTGATTTTTCACATGATTCAGTTGCAGCCAAATACAAAACTTGAAAAATATCACTTACAACATTCTCACAGAAGATAAAAAGCGGATAATGAGAGAAAAACTGACCCACAATACCAAGTTCCTACTGTAGAATCCTGCATCTGTAGTACATGGGTGAATATTATTTTCATTTCACAGGGTTCAGTTCATATTAGTGTAGCAAATGAATCTTCTGAAGACCTACCACTTATGAGATATCCATTTAAGTTGTGCTATGTTGCAAAGAAAATGGATGTAAAGGAAATATAATCTAAAGAAAGTGACTTTCCATTTTTTTGTGAAAAGGGTAACCGAAAAGGGAAAGAAAGTCAAGAAAAAATAGAAAGGTGCATGTCCCTTTTGTTAAGTTGACTGATTTTATGTATTGTTGGTTCGGCTGATAAGTGTACATGTTAGTTAGTATTGGGTTTTAAACTGTTAGGTACTGGGCCTTTGTTATTGGGCCTAAGTCTGTTTAGTGTTTTAAGCAGTCTGGGTGTCCCATCACTAATCAGGGGCATTCCAGACATTTCATGTAACACTGTATTGTAATCTACTATAAATAATAGTACTGTCGACTGGGTTACTCAATTCGACATTCTCAGC